GTCGTTGATGTTTGGCTCTGTTGCCTAGACAACACCAGGGTATGCGGCACACAATGCATCCATTAACAGTTTTTTTTTCCTTCTGTTTAGAATGTTTGAAAGGGGGATTGTTGTCTTAAAGCTACTCGATCCTCTTCAAATGGGAGATTATAGGCCTTGTTGTTTTGGGAAAATCCCAGTTGACAGTTCCCAGTCCGATCATGGCATTTAACAGAGCTATCAATAGGAACTCTACCTCAGTTCCCAGTCCGATCATGGCATTTAACAGAGATATCAATAGGAACTGTACCTGAAGATGATCTTCGTATAACTTCATTGGTCCAAACTGCACCTCGGTAAATGTGTTCTGAAACAAAGCAAGGGGAGGAGAATGGTTAACAATAGTTACACTGCACTGGCCCGGAAAAATGGCATAGTCCTGACTGACTCTGAACTTTCCCTCAAAAATGTGGAGAGAAAAATAAATCATTGAAACTGATTAGAGACAGAGACAGAGAGAGAGAGAGAGAGAGAGAGAGAGAGAGAGAGAGAGAGAGAGAGAGAGAGAGAGAGAGAGAGAGGACGAGAGAGACAGAGAGAGACGAAGAGAGAGAGAGAGAGAGAGAGAGAGAGAGAGAGAGAGAGAGAGAGAGAGAGAGAGAGAGAGATAGAGGACATCAGCGCCACAGGTAACTTCCACAAAGCTGTGAACGATCTGAGAGACAAGGCAAGAAGGGCCTTCTATGCCATCAAAAGGAACATAACATTCGACATACCAATTAGGATCTGGCTAAAAATACTTGAATCAGTTATAAAACCCATTGCCCTTTATGGTTGTGAGGTCTGGGGTCCGCTCACCAACCAAGAATTCACAAAATGTGACAAACACCAAATTCAGACTCTGCATGCAGAATTCTGCTAAAATATCCTCAGTGTACAACGTAAAACACCAAATGATGCATGCAGAGCAGAATTAGCCCGATACCTGCTAATTATCAAAATCCAGAAAAGAGCCGTTAAATTCTACAACCACCTAAAAGGAAGCGATTTCCAAACCTTCCATAACAAAGCCATCACCTACAGAGAGATGAACTTTGAGAAGAGTCCCCTAAGTAAGCTGGTCCTGGGGCTCTGTTCACAAATACAAACAGACCCCACAGAGCCCCAGGACAGAAACACAATTAGACCCAACCAAATCATTAGAAAACAAAAAGAGAATTACTTGACACATTGTAAATAAAAAACATTTAAACAGCGCAAACTAGGATGCTCCTTGGCCCTAAACAGAGAGTACACAGTGGCAGAATACCTGACCACTGTGACTGACCCAAACTTAAGGAAAGCTTTGACTATGTACAGACTCAGTGAGCATAGCCTTGCTATTGAGAGAGGCCGCCGAAGGCAGACCTGGCTTTCAAGAGAAGACAGGCTTAGTGCACACTGCCCACAAAATGAGGTGGGAACTGAGCTGCACTTCCTAACCTCCTGCCAAATGTATGACCATTTTAGAGACCATTTCCCCCGATACGAGATCCCAAAGAATTCGAAAAAACCCAACGGGTTCCCT